AGAGAACCCCTGTGTGATGGATGGCCGTTGGCACAATATGCACTTAAATATACGAATTGCTCAGCAACATTCCTGAGTATCCGTAGATGACTCTACGAAACACCAGTTTAGCCTTTTAAAGAAATGTTTTGCGGTCATTACCAAAACGCCTCCTTATTGACACTTTGAAGAGTTACGAAATATGTTAACGTATGTCTACGGAAAATCTTACGGAAGTTTTGTGAAACGCACTTACGATTTACGTAAGTTTAAACGTAAGCGTAAAGTAACGATAATTCATACGGCAAAAATTACGCAATGTAAGTAAAACGCTGCTTTTTAGTGTCGTTTCCCGTATAATATTTAAAATAGAAATAATATGGCACATTGCATTGTTGTTAATACTAAAATACCATAACAAGGTGTAAACAAAATTAATTTATTGTATAGAACATAAATAAATTCAGAAAAATTTCAAAATCAATGTCTCTTTTTTCTGTTTATTAAAGGCTTTTTTTTAAATTTGATTTCGCAGTTTATATGTTATCTTTGCTATTATCATAATTATTTTATTATAATCATCATTATCATCCTCATTGATGTTGCTGTTATTGTTTTCATCATTATACGTTAAGAAACTTTTGAAGTTATGTCCGCACTGATCAGATAGCGAGCTGTAACCGTAACAGGAAGGTAAACCAGTAATGAGAAGTCCATTACCTCTGATAGAGCGAGGACCTTTTTGGAACGTTAAAAGGGGCTCTACCGAGGTGCCGAAGCCATTTTAGGTAATCTAGACATAAGATGTGATGTTTTACATAGATTTACTGGGGAACTTAAGTCGAAAGAATGAAAAAATAAAATATTGGTGCACTTAAATGTCGGTTTCTTTTTGCGCGCTTCTCACTGCAAGTGAGTAAATAGTATTTAATAAAAGAGTTCCGTGTTTATGGTCATTTTGAACAATAAGAATGAGTATACTGGACAAAAACCCGGATGTGACAGGTTGCATGATCGTATTATTTTACAGAAGCTATTGATAAAGATTTACAATTAATGCTTCATAAATCTCGAAAGAAAAATTTCAATTCCCATCACGTAAAAATAATTGAATCTCAGTGGAGTCTCTTTAATACAGATATGTCTTGAATGCTTCATCTCAGTTAGGAAAACATCGACCTTTCATTGATCGTAGAAAGGTTCAATGAAAGCATTTCAAAAGTCACTAAGCATTAGCTGCATTGAATCGTGCTAAGATCATAAAATTACTACCAGCACTCACTGGAGCTTATAGCATTTCCACTTAATAAATATGTCAACTATATTATCATCGTTCGCGGAAGAACTCCCATTGAATTCGTTGTTTTCACGAAATGTGTATTAATAAATGACTTTGATATAGATTTGGCATAATTATCTGTAGAATTATTTCACGCGATAAAGGGACAACAAAGTTACCGAAAAGTTCACAAAGTTAAATATCTGACATAGTATTACATTTATGGTTTAATTGTACTACATTTAGTACATGCTATGTTTGCAATGCCTATGTGATATCAATAAAAGTGATAACTTTCAAGTGATTGTATGCAATGTGTAACTTAAATTTATGTTCCTGGAAATTTCAGCCCATGAAATGATAACTTTTGTTAAACGACAACGTGATGAACACTGCAGATTTAAAATATACACTTATAATGATTATTTTTGCTGATACATCCATGCATTTTGAATATGAAGCTTTTAATAAGTATTATGAAAATTTACAACACATGACAACTCAGACTGCTATTATGCTCTACAATCACAAAAATATAAGTAGTTATTGATTTTATAATTGATAAGGCATTTCTCGCAACGACATACACCATAAAACAATGTTGAAATAATAAACAACACTTTATGACCTTAAACGAATAAAAGTGACAGATTACCGAAATAAATGAAGTACGAGGCGTAGATGTCTTGCAAACGGTCAAAAGTTGCACAAATTCATATCTTAGGGAGTAACATGGATGTAAATTCTCACATACATCATTTTACTTTAAAGTAAACTTTCTAAGAGCTGTTGACATGTCCGAGGTCCGTACTCGACAGTGAGCGCTGCATTTTGTTCCTGAAAGGGCGAATGAACCCTCATTATAGCATTAAATCGGCTATTTTCCCCTCTTTTGCCCATGTTATAACGGGACCAAAACCATGTGTTAACATAGTCACGCGCTCTTGTTATAGCCCGGTTTTACCTATTCGCAATACATACAGGGCCCAGTAAACAAACAAAAAAATGACGATTTGGCCTGTTTGCCAAAGAGTCATGCGCTCTTGTTATATTGAAATTTGCTTGAAAAAAAAAACGATTCTGATGTCACTGATCTTTTTTCTACCGTCAATCTGAAATCATTCTAAGAATTTCTGAGGGTCATGTTTTGTCTTGGGTAGAGGGTAGAGTAATATACCGTGTTTTATTTTCTTGAGATCATAAATCTCCAAAGGCCAAGCTTTGTTAAATCAATTAAAATTCAAAATTTCTTCGGTTCCGAGAATTTCCAAGTTGTTGGCCCCGGAAAAATAAAACGCATACGTAAAACATGTTGAATAGGATAAATACCGTCCAAGCACAAGAATTTAATGTAAATTTTGTGTTTTGTATATACATCACGAATCTGTTTGAAAATTCTATGCTATAATAGCGTCAACGCACGTTTATTTCGTGTTATAAAGTCTGCAAAGTCCCTCAGAACTGTTGGAGCCCTCGCCCTACCGGGCTCGGACACCAACCGTTCCTCGGGACTCTGCAAACGTTATAACACGGGAAAACGTGCGTTAACCCTATATAAAGCATAGTCAGGTAATAAAAACCTCTTTCAAATCAATTTTTAAGGTTAGTTAATAATATTCCTATTTCTATGCAATTTGCCAAAGCCATGCCGAATCAAATGCTATCAGTGACAATTATGTCTTCATTTGACATGTCTGATACATCCCTTATATATCATAACATTCAGTCTGTATATAAACCGATACAGATATTCAATCATAAGTTTATAATTATGACTTAATTAGATTAGCATTTGTCAAATGGTAAAAAGGCCGAGAAATGACACAAAACAAAATAAAGTGGACTGAAAAAAGATGATGCATTTATTTAAAGTGACATTATGTCCATTCAAGTGAACAGATGAAAGTCAAAATCAGTTATTTAAACTTAACGTTTTCCCTTAATTCCCATAATTCTTCTCAATTTTATAATTAGATTCGCATTCACGATAAATAAGTAGCATAAATAAGCATAAGTGTCTAATATTGATGACTCTAGTTGATATAATGCTTAAAACATTTATGTATTTTGCATATTAACCATACAAGTACATGATTTTATATAAATAATTGCTTTACCGACTGCATATAGATGTTGGTGCTAGAAACTGAGTTCACTTACCGAAACACGACAGGGTTGTTTGAAACACATACAACTTAAAGTGTTCCAATTTTAAAGATTTATAACCCTTACAAGAAATTATTATGTCATTGTTATACAAGCTATGCTTACATTTCTATATGACTTCGCATGGAAAACTACAAACTTTCCTACTTATGCAAGTTAACCAGTTTTACTTCGTCCGAGTATTCTTATTAAAGATACTTCTTGTTTTATATTTTAGGCAGATTAATATTTTACCCAAAACAATTTCCAGTATCAATTGTTGGTCATTATCACAAAACAGTCAATCGTCTGTAATATGCTGACACTACTTTACAACACTTTTTATGCCACCCCAACGATGAAAAAGTGAGCTACAATGTCAAGATAATGTAGATGTATATATCATAGAGTTAATATGAGTAAATACAACAATATGTGAACATGTATATAATCTATATTAAACAATATAACATGTTTTAAAAGAAAACATTGATAATGGCATTCATGTTGTTTTGTAAAGAAAAAAAAAGAAACAAAAAATGTTCTTGTTTCTTTTTTATTCGATATATCAGTTGACGTGTATGGTTACTTTTATTGTATAACATTTTGTTTAAAATTTGCATAACTTTCTAGTGCCCTCAAAACACACACACACAAAATATCAAAAATAATAAAACTAATAATAAATAATGATAATAATAAAAACAAAATAACAAAACGATAGAACGATTCATACAATGTCAAAACACTGGTAAATTGTATTCTTTTTAAGACTTACTCTAATATATTAACGATGTAGAGTTTGTACCAGGGCCTCAAGCCTAGGGTTTGACCGAAAATGGTATCAAATTTATATCATGGAATTTGGAAGGATTAACGAAAGCGAAACGGTCTTGCGAGGATTTCACAAATTTTATCTCGGAATACGATGTCATATGTTTGTATGAAACTTTCACCAGTAGAAACACGAACATTTCGTTAAGTGGATATAGCAACCCTATTCACTCATTTAGAAGCTTTCAACATAGGCGGGCGAAACGAGCAAGTGGTGGTGTTATTATTTATATAAAGGACAGTATTAGAAAGGGTGTTAAGCTGATACGAAATGATATTGATTGCATTGTAGTATAAGTCAAAATCAGACAAGGTCTTTTTATAAATGGAATGATAATGAGAAACATCTTTTCAAAGAGGAACTGGCAAGTGGAATGAACAATTTAATAGACTCTTTAAAAAATAGTGATGCACAAGGGAGAGAAGCACTTGGTAAGACTGTTACAATGTTCACAGACTACATTGATTCAAAGGCAAAACCATTGTTTAAGAAATCTATAAAGGTAAAAAACTCAACATTTCTCGACAGTGAAATGACCGAGCGAAAAAAGTGGTTTAATATTGAATGTGAAAATAAACGGAAGCGATATAGAGAGGCCCTTGAAAGGTACAATTGTGACAGAAATACAGCTAATTTCGAAAATTTTCAACGCCTTAAAAAAGACTACAAATATTTCGTACGAAAAACAAAGGCGTTATATAATATAGACAAAGGGAGACAAATGAATGAAATGCGGCGTAAAAAGCCAAGAGAATTTGGAAAATGTTTAAGCAGGGTAATAACCCAGTCGATGAGAGTGTTACTTTAGATGACTTTTATAATCATTTTAAATCTCTGGACGCAAAAGTGGATGATAACGACGATGTACAAGAGTTTCTACGCGAATTTGACAATAATTGTGATAACACGGAAGAAGTTACATTCGAGGAATTAGACATGCCAATTACGGAGAATGAATTACGTAAAGTTGTTAACTCTTTAAACAGAAACAAAGCCGCTGGATTAGACAATATGATAAATGAATATTTTAAAGAGTGTATCGACATCCTTTCCGAACCGTTGTTACTTATATTCAACAAAATTCTCGACGCAGGTGAATTCCCGAGTCAATGGTCAGAGGGATTGATAATACCTATTTTGAAAAAACAACCATCTAACATTGCAAACAATTACAGGGGAATCACGCTACTAAGTTGCCTGGGTAAAATATTTACAGGAATAATAAATGAGAGAATGAAAGTCTGGACCAAAAATCATGACAAGCTCTCTTGCACAGTTTGGGTTCAAGTCGGGTCACAGTACTACTGACGCTGTTTTCGTTTTATCTACTATCATACAGAAGTATACTTCACAAAATAAAAAGGTGTATGCTGCTTTTGTTGACTATCAGAAGTGCTTTGATACTATATATAGAAACGGGCTCTGGTACAAACTAATAAAGGAAGGTTTCGATGGAAAATTGCTTAAATTGTTACGGTCCATGTATAGTGACGTCCGATCTTGTGTTAAAATTGATAATGGACTATTCCAAGGGGAGCTAACTTCGCCATTACTATTCTGCCATTTCGTGAATGACCTTGAAGTATGTCTACAGGAAAATATAGACTGTGGATTAACTTTAGACCAGTTATCTATATACTTAATCCTTTTCGCAGACGACAGTGTATTGCTTAGCGAAACCCCCGAAGCTCTTCAAACCAATCTTAACCAATTAGAGGCGTATTGTAAAAGATGGCACCTTACAGTTAACGTTGAAAAGACTAAAATTATGGTATTCCGAAAGGGTGGTCAATTACCAAGAAATCAAACTTGGACATATAACGGCCAGACCATAGACATTGTTGAAAACTTTAATTACCTAGGCTTTGTAATGAGCAGTGGCGGTTCATTTCGAAAAGGCATAGATGCATTAGCAGATAAAGCTCTTAAATCAATGTTTTCTCTCAAAAACATCACTCGAGGGATGCAAATACCACTACATATAAACTTTAACCTTTTTGATGCTTATGTAACATCTATAATGTCATATTGTGCTGAACTGTGGGGATTTAGCCAAGCAGAAAGATTAGAGCGACTTCATAGAAAATATCTTAAATGGACATTGGATGTAAAAATGAGTACGAACAGTTATGCACTTTATGGTGAAACGGGACGGTTTCCGTTCATTTTAAACAGAAAAGTAAAGATAATGAAATATTTTTTCAAACTATTAGATTCACATGATAAGAATTGTATTTTATATTCTGTTTATAATTTTCTATTTGAGTCACATGATTTTCAAAACAATTGGTTATCAAATGTCAAGACTATGTTGCAAGAGACGGGGTTTAATGATGTCTGGTGTTTTCCTGCATCTGTTGTTAACATAGAGTGCTTTATTACACAGTTTAAGCTTAGGCTTAAAGACATTTATATAGGACAATGGAGAGAGGCAGTTAACATTTCAACGGCATTGACTCTATAAAAAGAAATTAAACAAACATTTGGAATGTCTGAATACTTGACAATACTTAATAATAACAAATTCAGAAATGTCTTGGCTAAATTTAGACTTTCTTCACACTGTTTAGCCATAGAGCAGGGTCGCCATAGAAACCAGTTAAGAAGTGAACGAAAGTGTGTTATATGTACCAAAGACAATATTGAAGACGAATTTCATTTTGTCTGTATATGTGAGAAGTATAAGGACTTGAGAAAATTATATATTCCGTACTATTTCAGAAATCGCCCAAACATGTTTAAGTTTATTGAACTGTTAGACTGTAATAATCTCAAAATATTGTGTAGACTTTCAATATTTATTTCAAAAGCTCTGAAAGTAAGAAACAATCACATTAATCTTGAAGCTTAATTACATCAAATGTTGACATGTGTGTTATATATATTTGCTAATTTGATTTAGTAGATCAGTATGCTTACTGATTACATTGTATATTATCTTCCTTCTATGCAACTGACACTTTGTTTTGCCATTTTCATTTGCATGCGATTGAATGCACATGTATTATATTTTCATGATTGATGATAAGCTGTATATGCTTAAGTCAAAATAAATATTCTGTTCTGTTCTGTTCTTTTCTGTTCTAATAATTTCATTGCAATATAAATCTTTTATTAATTTTTTAATGTATTTGTCTCAAAAACAACATTCGTTTATCTCAGTAGTTCAAATTAACTTCTCAGCGAGAAATTTGTTAAACAAAGCTTGCAGCTATGATAATGGACACTGGCTAAATAAGAAGATTGTTGTCTGTGTTCATATTGCTTTGTTTAATAATTGCTTCCTAATTATTCCCGTACAGTCGACTGGTACATTATAACTGCTATAACATGATATTAAGAGAATGCACTGGTATAAATAAGAAACCTGTGTAGTATCCAAGAGTTTAGCATGTATGTGGTGTATGACCATTTTAATAGGGTTACTGTTATTTCAAGCAGAAGGATTTATTACATCCAAATGCCGTTGCAGATAATAATGTACAAAAGTGCACTACCGCTTTTCATGTGAAAAATGATTAGTTTCATTTAATTCATTTTTCCTTTTTTTTGCTATTTGTTTGTCGTATAAAGGAACAAAATGTTCATGTTTTTCACATGCTTATGCGATGTTATATGACAATTGTGATATGAAATCTGACGTATAGTTAATAAAAGAATATTACTACATTAACAATCACATCTGCCGAAGCATAACGAAGCATTTGAACCCCGAGCCCTCAGGTCTAATATTTTAATATTTCTGTTTGGTTCTGTAGACATTAATGCATGGAAAGGGTGCAATACCACCTATCTTTACATAAGCGATTGTTGAAAGTATATGCCCTTTTAAGCACAGAAAGAAAAGAAAACAAAAACAGAAATTCGACTCACTGTGTAAAACTAAGTGTAATAAAATACATTTATAATAGAACTTAATATCTAAATTGAACTAGTTGATTGATTTCTTTCAGTTGATAACATAAAAATAGTATTAATTATTCATTTATTAGACACTTTTAACTACAACAGAATGCATTTAAATGATTTGATATTGTCTCTGAAACCATTTCCTGGATGGACATTGCTTGTTTCTACGCTTTCTTTATGGGTTAAATCTAATGTGCCAAACAACGTGTTAACCACCCGATAATCTTTAATTGGAGTTGCCTATTTAAGTTTTCCAGCGATGGGCCGGAAAGCAGCATCACCCTTTATATATGACGTAGTTTTGTTATTGCAGGGCAAAATAATCCTATCATTAACAGGACTACAAAATTCAATAGATTACAATGCGTTCGGTTACTTTTTATATAGATTCTTTGCAGGTTTGAATCTAACCCAAAAAGAAGTGCCAAAGTAAGCAATATTTAGCAAGGAAATTGTTCAAGAGTACTTCATATTGCACTCCTTTTAATCTCGTTTTCATATTTTAGATCCAAATGCTCCATTTCAAATCGATATTGATTTATTCACTTGATACTCATAATTATAAAAAATGTATTACACGGTTATAAATTATGTTTCTTAATCTTACATTTAAAAGTAACCGAAGTCTTAATAATTGTTGTAGACATGCAAGTGATTGTGATGTTTTTTTATTTTGTCATTGATATGAAATTCATTTCTACTTTATGATTCAAATTTATTAGAACATTCATAAATTATGTTTCTTCATTTTACATTTAAAAGTAACCTAGGTCCTAATAATTGTTGTCGACATGAATGTGATTGTGATGTTTTTATTTTTCATTGATATGATATTCAGTTCTACTTTATAATTTAACAAAACATTCATTCTATTTCGGCTAGGTATGTCAATGTTGGTTATGCAAACAAAAACAATCAAAAGAACATACAATACATATTTTGTTTCGTTTTGTATTATTCTAACTACATTTGAACCCCTGTCAAAAAGTTTTTGGTAAGCTTTCAGTTTCATATGCACAATAATAAAAAGTGAAATGTACTTTTAAAGGTATCCAAACGTTCTTCTTATTATTATTGTTTATACCTATATAAAATATAGAGTGCTGTTTAGCGAACACTGGCTAAAATAATTTAATTGGTAAAACTCCTAGTTAGATAAACATGCATATACGAACAATCACATACTCAGATTAAATGAACTTTCAAAGTAACTAGCGAATAGTACTACAGAAACGTTCTTTCAAGAATGAATCATTCGATGTATTAACATTTTGGTTTGGTGGGAGGGATTTAGTTTCCAAATATTAATAAGGTCTTTCTGACAGTATCCATGATGTTATGATGTGATATTTTTCAAAAGCAGAGATATTATAAGGCTTGTCGAGAGGAAACAGGTTGACATAGCTGTTCGCAATTCTCATCAACTCCATAATGGAGAAGATTATATGTTGAAACAGATGTTGCAAAGACGTCTTTAATATCCCACAAAACAATGATAGAAGGCGTCATGTCGCATTTACATGTGTCGACATGCCGACACACGAGTTAACACGGATATTGCTTCTAGGGGGTCAATTCAAGCTTCCATACCTTTATCTCATTAAATCATTTTATAATTTTCTTTGTTTGTTAGGTAAAGCGATGTTTTTTACCAGTTAGAAATATAAATCTATTATCGCTTATCATATAAATATCTCAGAATTTGTAAAAATAACTCACTACTAATACATACTACTTAATTTTATATATTTTTATATACATGATCGTTTTTATGCATGTTGATATATGTGAAAACATAACATGTATGGATATATATTTCCCTGAATAAATTGGTACGATACATCTAGACACATTGCAAAACGAAGTATTATCATTCTGTAACATATAAGATGAAAGAAATTTTAAATTTTATACTTCAAAGAAAGCTATATTGAAATATGAAAACAAAATAATTAAAATTTAAACATATTAATTTAATAACAAACAAAAGTTGGAGGAAGGAAGTATGTGAAAAAGCTCTTTAGTACATGTACATTACTTTATAAATATTTATTATAAATAAAATCGCCGGGTGAAGAAAAATAATGCAAGCATAACAAAACATCCCCTCCTCAGCTAAATTTTAAAGAAAAATGCTCAATTTTGAAATTTGTTCCAGTGACTCAATTAAATAAATTGGTAAGC